TCATAATATTTTTAATTTCTTATTTTTTATATTTTTAAATCTATTTAATACTTTTTAAACTTCTTTAAACTATTTTGCATATCATAAAAAAACCTAAAATTATCAGGAAATAATTAAAATTAAAACAAATTTTTACTAAATTGATTGCTGGTTTATTACTACAAACAACTAAAAAAAGAGAAGAAGTAGCTTCAACAAAAAATAAAATTTTGTTATTAGTTTGAAGAAAAGTTAAAACTTCTGAAACTATAAAAGCAGCTAGTTCTGCTAAAAGATCACTTGAAAGTATTAAAAGAATTTTATATTCTTTTAAAGATTTTAAAATTATTTCAAATTATTTTAGATATTTTTAATTTATATTTATTTTTTCAATAATTTTTAATTTAATTTTTTATATAATTTAGACAGAAAATCAAGTTAATAATGGCCAGACTCAATATATAAAACAGACTATGACACTATTCACAGCTTTGAAAGCTAAATATATAGTAGTAATCCAATAAAAGAATCTTTTATTTTTTTAAATTCTATTTTATTATTAAACTTCAAAAAAGCACTGCAAGAACCAATCTAAAAGATATTATATGATTCAGACTTATGCTATAACCAATAACTAGCACATCTGAATCTACCTTTACTTTTACAACCACAAACACTCAACTTATTTTTACAACACATCTATCAATATAACTTTACACAATATAATAATTTTAATTATGCACTCAAAATATCAATCAAACTTGACTATAGTGAATATTATATATATTGTTAACATTAAGAGTTTTACACATTTTTTTGACTATAACTTTTGATGTACCAAACCAATTTAGATAAAACAACTACCATTGAATTTAGCTCACTGAGATGATTCTAATGACTACAAAATCATGTAATTCTGATTATGGGATCATGAGATTGGGACAATTTTTATGCAAGCACTAATTTTAGTACATGTGACTTGATTCTGATTGGTTCACATTATTGTGCCAGAAATCTAACAAATTTAACATTTCTAACAGATCTATTAGAACTAACATATCTAACATATCTAACATATCTAACAGATATTATATATCTATTATATCTATCATTTCTATTATATCTACTATATCTATTATATATATTATATCTATTATATCTATTAGTTCTTATTACTATAAATAGCATTTATTAGCAATAGAGTAGTCTTTATTGTAATAATTTATATATATAAAATATCTATAAAAACACTACTTTCTGACTTTTCAAGAAAGTTAAGTGTTTCCATATATTTCAATAGAAAGTACTTCTACACTTCATCTAAGTGTCTTCATACACTTCAATAGAAAGTGTTTTTATACATTTCATAATTAATAAACTGAATGCAATATTTAATATTTTCATATACTATCTATTGTTACTTCTGTCTTAAAATCCCAAATTACTCTGTATTTTGTTAAGTCTTATATAGACTTTTGTATAGAATCTGTCAAGTTATAGTTGTTATACTATAGTTGAGCAGTTTCTGTTATCATTGTGGTTAAAGAAAAAACTACAGGTTAACATTTTGGTAGTAACTATAAGATAAGTTTTCAATTTACCATAGATAATTGATTTTAGTTAGTCTTAAAGAAACTCTATCAATATTAGTCCGTTTGACTTAAAATTTGAAAAGTATACACTTGAAAACCTATTGCATCTTTTTACTAAGTGTATCTTAGTAAGAAATTCCTCTGGAACCCACTATTCAATATCAAAGTAGTGATAGCATTTTTGATCTTCAAAGAATTTGCAAGAAATTCCTTTTGAAGAAGCATTTTAACTATTGCTATGCCAACTTTAAACATCCATATCTCAGCCTCAACCACTAGATAAAACTAAAGTTTTTAACTCTCTAAAATACCAAATTTGACAGCAATTTATTTTCTATCTTAAAGAAACTTTACCTACTATAATAGACTTTTAACAACTTTATAATTTACAAGATTACTAAAATAAAATCATAAAACTAGCAAACTTTCATATTCTTATTTGTAAAGAAAAAACTTGTTTCTATCTAGTACAAATAGAACCTAAAACAAAAAAAAAAACAATAAATACAAATCCATCTACTACAATCCCAAAACCTTTATATCAATACAACTTTTTAAAATTATCAAATAATATCTTTAAAAAATCATATGAAGATTTTCCAAAATAAGAAAATAAAATTTGAAAATAACCTAAGATTGATCTATCTATTTTCTACAAAAATAGCAAACATGAAGCATTCTTCAACAAACAAATTTCTATCACTCTTCTTGATGAGTTTGTAACAAAAATAGAAAAATCTGCTTGCAAAATCAACAATGTTCTAACTATACCAAAATATTGCAGCATAAAACTACTATATTAACAAACTTGACAAATATAAACAATAAAATTCATTAGCTCTAAACTCACCAGTACAGAACTATTAGCAAGAGTCTTAACTTTTTTAATTATTTTGACAAATTACTAACATATTCATAAATCAATACTTATTACTAAGAAATAACTTATTCAGAAGCAAACAAAATATTACCAGATAAATTTCAAATGTTATATTCAATTCTTTTCTTAATTAAAGAGTTTCTCTTCTTTAAAAAACTCCTTTTTAGTAAATCTGTCTTCTACAAATCTTATAAATGCAGCTACCATCTTGTTAAGAAATACATTCTTAGTTGATAAGAAAAATAATATAAGTGGACAGACAGTAAAGCCTATTTATGTGAAAGACCAAGTTAATGCCAGTCAGATCTAATGTACAGTACAGGCTATGGTATTCTTCACAGCTATACAAGCTGAGCTTCAAACAGTAAACAATCTTGTAAAAGACAACCCAACCTCACAAGTTTCTATTTTTAACACTTCACTTTTTGCAGAAACAAACACATGCTACAACAAATTTCTAAAATTATACAACCTACCTATTATATATAATTTTATAACACATAAAAACTTTCTATCATATCTTTGAAAACACTCTTCTAAAAATAGTTTCAAAATATCTATTAACCAAAACAAAACTGAGTTTCATATATACACTAATCTTTCTAATTCTATTTTGCATAAACATTATATTATTTAACCTTTTTAATATAAAATATACAAACATTTACTCTTACTAACAACATCTAACAATACTTCATTCAAGTCTTATTTGATCAATTGTTTTTTACAAATCTATTTTCTAAATCTCCATCTATATTAATTATTTCTATACTTAATTATATAGTCAATAGACCTGAGAATCTTTCTCAACTTATAATCTTTAATACTCACAATACACAATCTACTATCCATCTATTAATAGATGAAACATCTACATCTACTCCATATAAACTATTACATTTATCAATATATATACACAATATACAAGAATACAATAATAATCTAAAACAACAAATTTAAAAGCATTATTGTTTATCTCATAACATCAATATAGTTAGCATTACAGAAACTAAAATTATACAAAACAATGCAAATGCTAAATTTCTTAGATTCTAGCAGTTTATCTATTACTGGTTTTGCACTGATAACTGTAAAGCTAAAACAGCAATTATAATTCAAAAGTATCTAAAACTACATGTTAACAAAACATTTTAATTTCCTAGTTATGCTATTGCTATAGACTTTTTCTTCAAGCATGACATTAAATTCTGCACTATTTTAGTCTATTTACCTTCACCTTAGCCTTTTTATTCAAAATAAGATCATACAGTCATCATCTTCTATAATCACCTCTTATATAATCACAATCCCTATACAATCATATAAGTTTGTATTACATTTTTTTTATAATAAAAATATCTTTTTATAATCAGATTATTATTTATAATTACTTTTACATAATTTTAATTTGATAAAAATGTTTTTATATAGAACTTTCTTTTGATATCATCACTTACTAAAAATGTATTTAAATGATTTTTTTTTTTAACATTATTCAAAATGTCTTTAGAGACACCTTCTAAAAAAGCAAAAATGGTTATTAATGACAAGTTAAAATATGATATTTGTGTCTATAATGACAAAAATCCTAACCTTTCACATAAGGAGATTGCAGAATACTTTCAAGAAACCTTTCAGGTTAATCTTGAACATTTACAATATCTAAAATATTAAAAGAAAAAAAAATAGTTGGTGGTAATTGATAATACAAATAGTGCTAAAATTTATCATTATAAACAAGTTAAATACCTATTATTGGATCAAGCAATGCAATTATGAATTGAACAGATTACTAGTAATAGAATGTTTTTGTTTGAATTAATTATCAAAGAGAAAGCCAAGTTTTTTGCACAAAATTTGGGTATAATGATAAATTTGTTTAAATTTTTTAATGGTTGAATTCATCAGTTTAGAAAAAAAAATAACTTATAAAATTATTGTTTACATAGTGAAGCTGGTTCTGCTTCTTTAGAAGATCTATCTGACCAATAAAATTCACTGCACAATATTATTCAAGAGTATACTCTTGATAATGTATTTAATGTAAATGAGACTAAGCTCTTTTTTAGAATAGCACCTAACCAAACACTTGCATCAAAATCACATTTAGGTTGAACAAAAGTAATACTTATTTTAAATATAATACAGTAACTTATTAAATTTACATTATTAGTTTATCTACCCAGGATAGTTTTTTTTTTTAAAAACAATGTTTTTTTTTAAAAAAAAAATTATGCCATGTATTTATACATATATATAAATAAGTAATTTTTTTTTTTTTTAAAAAAAAAAGAATTTTTGTAATTTAAAATAAAAAGCAGGTTTGAGTTATTTTTAAAACTTTATATTCTAAAAGTCAAGAAATCAACTTTTATAACTTTATTATTCTAAATTATTAGAATAAAACAAGAGTTTTTTTATGCTAGCATGTAATGCAATTGGGATACAAAAACTAAAACTACTTGTAATCAGATTCTCAATTCAACCTCATTTGCTTGCACACATTAATCATAATATCTAGCAGTTATATACAGAGCCAATTCTCAAGCATGGATGTGATGTAATCTTTTCAGTAAATAGTTATAAATGCTAGATTATTAATTTTGTCTTCAAAATAGAAATGTTTTAATTTTAGTTAATAATACATCTTGTTATTATAATTCAAACAGTATTTTACCAACTTCTAATTCTAATAATGATAGTTATGAAGAAGGAACTGAATTAGCAAAAATATCTGTACCTAGAATTAGTAATATAAGATTGTCTACTTTACAAAATAATCAGAGTCAAGCTCATAGTGGTTGAAGTTGTCTCTATACAATTTCTGATCTTACTAGCCTTCAGTTAACTAATATTAAGTTTTATTTTTTTTCATCTAACACTACTGCACATCTTTAACTAATGGATGCAAGCATTATTAAGTGTTTTAAATCAAAATAAAACCAAAAATATATTTAACATCTTTTCACTTAGTTTGAACAAGATGAATATATACAAAAGTAAGTTGAAAATATTAAGTGCTACAAATTAAAACCCTAGAACTGAATATATAAATATTATATATTCAGTTCTAGGTTTTTAATTTGAAGCACTCAATATAAATATAATGTTGTGTATTAAATTAATATTTAAGTCAGATTAAAATACAGTCACATCCCTCTAAGTGCACTTATCTTGAAACCATAATAAAAAAAAAAGCAAAACATGCACTTAGAGGAGATGTGCATTTAGAATGATTAAAATTTATAGTTATTATATTATTTGGATCCAAGAGGGAATATGCACTTAGAGAGGTTTTTCATATACTATGCACTTAGAGTGTATGCATTTAGAGAGTGCGACTGTAATTATAATCTTGCTGATAGTGATTTTACCACATTACTACTTGCTGACATCTATCCTTACCTTAACACAAGCTCCCACTCTAATCTTAATAAAACTCTACAACATTTAAATTTTGATCTGACATAAATTTTAATAATACACAATATTACTAAGCTATATTTACTATTTAATTAAAATAAAATTTTAGAAAAAACTTAACATTAGAGATGCAATTTACTATATTGCAGAGGGTTGGAATGAAGTTAGTAAAACAACAATAATGAATTGTTGAAAAAAAACTGAAATCTTGTTCTTTATTAATTATGAAGAAATACAATATGCAACAAGCCTTATGATACTTTTATTAAACAAAAAAAATGATAATATTGAGTTGTCAGTTGCTGATTTGAACTCATCAGTTCTGCCTCAGGTTAACAAGTATCTTGAACTTAATAACTTGTATATTTCTATTGTGAAAGAATTAAGCAATACTAAAATTGTCAAGTTAGTAATAGCAGAACAGCAGTATAAAGAACATGATTCAGATGATTCAGTTGAAGAGCCTTTAACAATTCCAGCTTCAAAAGAATTAGTAAGTCTAAAAAATTTTTAGAGTTTTTTAAATAACAAACAGATCAAAATTTTAAATCAAAAGATTTAAATGTTTTTTAAAAATATTTATCTATAATAAGCTATAAGGATGTAGAATCAAAAAAGCAAAGTTCTATTATGAATTTTTTTATATTTGAAGAAACAAGTTGAAAAGGTAATATTAAAAAAATTTAGAACAATTACTTTTTGAATTATTTTTTGGTACATTTCTTAATTTCTAATAATTTTTTTTTTATTTATAGTACATGTGATTCTTTATTCTATTTTTGATAAGCCTATTATAATTATTTACTTATTCATTTTGTTTAAATAGTTTCTTTTATTACTGTATATATTTTTTATTCAACTATTTATAATTATTTATTAAAATGTGCAAGCAATCTTATACTAGTTAGAAATAGTTTGCCTATGCAATATACTTTTAGTAAATTCAGATAATAATTTGTATTTTTAACTTGGTTTGTACTGTACAAACTGTATATATTCTTATTTTTTATTTATGAAGTATCAGTTCAGTATACAAATAGTTTTTTATATTATTTATGCTCAGTAAGTTTATAAACTCACTTATATTACATTATCAAATTCTATTCTTATTTATTTTATTTATTTATTTATTATTTATTTTACTGTACTGTATTTTTTTTATTTTGTATATTAGTTCTTCATATCCACTCATTTTAGTAAGTTTGCCCAATTCAACATTTATTATTTAATTGATTATTGATTTGTTTAAATGCCAAGTAATCCTAATTATTTTTAATATTGGTTCAATACTTTAGTAGTTTTTCTGACTATTAATTTTTTGGTATTTATACTTATTATTGGCTCAGACTTTAATGCCTGCTAAATAAAATATGCATTTGATTAAAATAATTTTTAAATACACAAAATGTACTGTATGTCATTTATTTTTAATAAGTTAAAATTTAATTTGCATTCTTATTATTTTAAATGCTCATATAATTCTTTTTATTTACTCATGATTTTGCAAGTTATACAATAGCTAATTCAGGTTGCAAGTGGTTTTTCATATTATTGATCTTTGGTAATTTAATTAATTTTTCTTATTTAACAATATTCATATCTCTATATTTATTTAACGTTAATGGCTTATCATTTCTGTTATTGTAGTAAGTTAATTTAATTTATATTTACTGTATGTTCTTATAAAAACAAGATTTCTAATACTGATATGAATAGCTTTTTATTTACCTTTTTATTCACTTCACAAATTTAGTCAATTCAAGATTCAAACAATAATTTCTATTATTTAATTTTAATTAGTTGAGCATTGTAACGATACTAGGCGTAACTACCCTAGAATTCCCTATTCATAGGGTAGCCGTTAGATAGTTCGCGTAACGTTGGATGTTACTACACTCGAAAGAGGCGTTGGATTTGGCGAGTGTATCTGGTAAGTATTTCTTTATTACGTCCTGTTCTATTCTACTCTCCTATATTCTATCTCCATTTTAAGCGCATTACTTATATACTTTTTCCCTATCTGCTAAATACACTATTACGCTCTATACACTATATATGCTATATCTACTTTATGCACTATATCTACTTTATGCGCTATATCTGCTATATATGCTATATACGCTATATACGCTATATATACTATATATGCTATATATGCTATGTTTACTAATTACGCTATATATCCTATATCTACTAATTACGCTATACATATTAATTAATATATATACTATTGTTTAATTATGCAATCGATCTTTAATAAATTATTGACGATCCTATTTTAGATCGTAACAGCATAATGGCTTCTTTATATATAATGATTCTTACTTATTTTTCTTCATATATTTTTATTTAAAAGTAAGTTTAGCAAACTTTTATTAAGCTATTTAAATGCATTCTTATTTATTAATTAATTTAATTTAGTATAGTATTAGGCAAAAATTATTCAAATATTTTTGTTAATATTGGTGATTTTAAATTTTAAGTGAGTTTAATAAATATTTTGATTTGCTGCTATAATCACTTTACAAAAATTTTAAATTTTAAGATATATAATTATTTGCTAATAATAATTATTATAAAGTACTTTATAAGCTTTTAAAATAATAAATTAGGAATTGAATCCTAAATTAGTAAAATATTAGTAATATTTTAGACATTATAAATAGTATTTTAAAAACCAATAAATTAGGTATTAAAAATGTAATATTATTGCATTATTTATAACTAATATAATTATTTATTTGCAATATTATATATTATTTGAAATATTTGTAATTTTAGATATCTATTATATACAAAATTATCAAAATATTAGTAATACATTACTTATTAATTACCAAAAATTTTGTTTTTTAAATTCAATAAATTATGTAATAAAAATCAATTTATAAATATAATATGATG